AATAGATATTATTATTATTATTTTTTTTTAAATTTATTTATTTATTTTTTTATTTTTAATTATTATTAGCATTTTCAAACACAACAAAATTACAGTAAAAACAAAGGTTGTCGCCGACAAAGCGTGCATTGATTCAGAAAACAATATACAAAACAAAACAAACCTAAAATAAATATATAAAAAATAAAGTAAAACATCAATTCTTTTTGCAAGCAATTGAAATCTGAAAAAGAGAATTTTAACATTCTAAGCGTTTCCACTTAAGAACATGCGAGTCAATCTATTGTTTTTGAAAGCAATCTGCTTTTTAACTTCTACCGTTCGTTTTACGATAGTTTTAAAGTGATTAAAAACTAAGTATTCTAAGGTGGTTGCATTTAAATATGTACATCTTCGCAGTAATAGATAGAATATTTATTGCATCGAAGTTATGGCTTGTTCCTATGCCAAAAAAAAAAATATATATATATATATATCGAAAATATAAAATACGAACTACAACGGTGTATCGTACTATCGTGGCCGGACATTTCACCGGCAGACATTTGGCCGACAGACATTTGGCCAACAGACTTTCGACCGAAATTCCATTCCGCCGAATGCCAGTTAGCCGACAGGACGATTCCGCCGACAGCCAATTTTCCGACAGACAATTCGAACACATTTTTTATGAACATGTTAATGGGTGGATGTGTCACCAGGTGGCATATTTAGATGATTAATTTTCGTGGCCTGACGTTTCAACGACAGACATTTGGCCGATGTATACTTTCGACCGAAATAGCATTCGCCGACACGAGATTTTGCCTACACCACATTTCGTCGAATGACAGTTTACCGATAGGACGATTCGCCGACAATTTTTGTGAACATGTTAATGGGTGGATGTGTTAGATTTATTGTTCGGTTACGTGTCCAAACCCTTTCTAGTACCGAGTATAATTGTGCACAGCTTACAGATATTAAATGTTAAATTATGTTCAAGTTTGAGCATTGAATTTGAAACTTCCATACTGTGCTAGAGCTAAAAGTTAATGATAAGATTAATTAGTAGGTCACTGTTTAAATCGTAAAAGAATTATTCTATAGTAACGTATTATTATTCTTTAAAATAATGGAAGGCCCGTAATAATCTGGGGCTGATGCAGGGGCTGCAACTATCCGATCGGAACTCCCCGTCCCCACCCCACCCCCACAACATTTTTTTTCTATTGTATTGTTAATATGTACATAGTGCCTGTACAGTTTTTAAGGTACATCTTTTCATAATATGATAGAACCTATGGTGTGAATTTCTTTGACTACCTAGTGTATTCAAGGATTTAGGTGATATTTCACTGGATTTGAAGAAAATCTGTTAAAATGCAGCGTACTAATCATCAAGTCGCGGTCTGCCTCGCTTGAATTAAGTCAAGGCAAAGCAGAGTATACAACGCGGGCCACTAGAAAATTGATTGAATATGGAGAATTGAATGACCAAATGATTATGGAAACGATTTATTTGGGCTTTTTTGTCTAACCTGGCCTCCTCTGTTATTTACGAAGTGGGTGTATTACATCATGTATAATGGATTCAAACATGTATAATCGAGCAATATTTTGAATTAACATAACAGCATGCCATATTTGTTTTAATCCATAACTATTAAGGATGATCCATTCAGCTCACCTGTGGTCACTGAATATAAATACTTAGGTTGCCTTTTTGATAATAAACTTAATTTGAAAAACAATACAGATAAACTAGTAAGTAAGAGCCAACAAAGAATGGGAATTAGGTAATTAAGTAACATGTACATTGATAGAACTATATTAAGATTATTCTATAACTCTGTGATTGTAAGTATTATGACGTATTGCATCGTTTGTATCTTTGGAAATATGACCTAGAAAGACAAATGCGTATTGAAAGAATAAACAAAAAGCAAATCGAATTATTGGTGATAACATGATGAATCTGGATTTCGCTTTTAATGAGAAAATTATTAAGAAAGTTAAAGACATAAAGAATGATAATACACATCTACTGTACTCCCATTTTGTTCATTGTCTCTGGTATCAGATTAACTCCACCTATATCGAAAACCAAGAGGTTTAGACAGTCTTTTGTACATAATTCCATCCATGTATTTATTAGACGTGCCAAAAGGTGATTATCCCAACTCTCCATTGCTGCTTTACATTTTTAATGAAAATTTCTTACATAATTCTCTGCCTATATGTATTTTATTTAAACTCAGTAATTTTATACTATTTTAAATCTGGTTTTATCTTCTCAACATAAATGCAATAGGCGAGTCGAATGGCCGAGCGGTTAGCAGGGGCGCCGCAAGCTATAGCCATAATATCGGCGCTGGTTCGAACGGCACGCTCGCCTATGGTTCTGGTGGTAGAACAAGTCTTCTCGGATAAGGACTATAAACCGTAGGCCCAGTGTATACAATGGCTCGTGTGCACTATAAAGAACCCAGTACATCCTTCGAGACGGGTAGGGGGATACCCCGGTGTACTGGAACAGACAGCCCCTGTGGTGGACGACGAGAGTTGCTGGTACTGGGTTACCGGGTAGCACAGACATAAAGGGACCCTTAGGGGCGAAGAAAGTAATTGATCGAGTTCCTAGTCCACGCATCACCAGCGCATTGAGACTTCGGTATAATGCGCTATACCAAATCCCACTACATTTCATTACATTAGTGTTATACTATTTTAATGCTTATTCTGCTCTTTGTTTTTTTTTTATCATCGTACAATGTTTTAATAATATATCTTAATACTTTTACTGTCTTTTAATGTTTTTATAGTATATTTTACTGTTCTAATAACGTTATACTGCATTTGAATGTTTTAATATTATATCGTTATAATGGGTTTTTTTTACTGTTCTGTTTGAAACATTTAAAAATTTCCAGTCAAGTTTTAGAACTTTATCTGTTTTGTTTATGTTTTGGTTTTGAATTTCCAATGATGACTTAAAAGCCCTCATAAATGACAATTTAATATTTATCTTTTCATCTTAGATAATATTGATCTCTTTCCTGGTCATTGCTCGTGCCTAGCCTATGTACTATAAACTAATTTCTGTGGAGAGAGGGCGGTTGTGTGAGAGTTTTGGTTTGATTTGTGTGCGTATTATAAACACTTTGTTTTGCAATTTAATGTTTCATTGTAATCAAAACCAAAGCTGTGTTGCCTACTCGCAGCTAATGATTGTGTGCTAAACCATCGAGTTCCTTGGGTAGCACCTACTAGTCTAGTGTTTCAACTAAAATACTAAATTCTATTCGTGTGCAATGTAGGCCCTATTAAGACTAACAATAATCTACTAGTCACGTGTGCAACAGTTTCCGTGCAAGAAGGATGTGGTATTTTTACTAAGTAGACAAAAGTCACATTTTCGCAGTGTTTTAGTATTATTATTATTATTATTACTATTATTATTATAATTATTTTTATTGTTGTTATTATTGTTGTTATTGTTATTGTTATTGTTTTT